TTTCCTGGGCAGATTTTAAAGGTAATCAGTTTATTATATATACTGGTTTGATGAAAAAGCTGTTATGAATCCACAAGACTTTATTAGAAGGGCATAAAATAGGTTACCTAATACTAATATAAAAAAAAAAAATGTTGTAGTTAATCCTCTATAAATACCTATTACACCACTTTTATCCTTTGTGAAGCCACCATAGTCGTTATTGCACAAATCAGGAACCTATAAACCTTCACAAGTTGCTACTTATATTAAAGCTTCTGGCATGAGTGCCCCTTCAAGTTGTTACCCAAATTTTTAGTGGACAAATGTAAGAGTGGCAGTGAGATGAAAAACTAAGATAGATTAATGATTGATGCACAATGTCAGGAAGGATATGAGAAAACAATGAGAAAGAAAAGGGTTAGAGAGGAATGAACAAGATCATGTGTTTGACTTTATCAAGTGTCAATTTCCATTTTGAGCTTCTGGTGTTTGATTGTTGTAACCACACCTTTGACTTTATATATATATACATAAGTCAAACTATTTTGCAGAAGAATACTCCTTGTTGAAGTTTGTTTCATTTCCCCATATTCCCTACTGTTGGACTTGTTACATAGCCATGGAGACCAAACCCTTAGTACCCCTACATGCATGAAGTAGTGACTAAGGTCTAAGGTCGCTAACCTCAACGAGCTATGAAACCAAGAGGATCACATTACTATCTGCTTTAGTCCTTGATGGTCGTAGTATTTATGTTGTCATCAATTGTTCTTTGAGAGAGATACTCCATTTTGGAACTACCGACCACACCTCCTGGTATCTGAGCTAATGGCATATGGGCATAGAGAGGAAACGATACCAAAGAGAGTTTTGTTTGAGACTTGTAGAGGAACAACCCCTCGATGTAGGACCTTGAGAACTACATCACCAACATCGACAAAAGATTGGACCAGATTTCAATCAGGTCTTACCAACTTGGTTCATGAGCTTTATTATAGGAGGACTTCCAAAAGGTCTCACCTGTCCCTTCCCCAGTTCCCCTTCCTTATCTCACTCACCCCATTGACATCGCATGGATGAGTATGGCAATGCCTCAACATCATCCACTTGGCAATTTCCAGAGTTAGACTGTTATCACGCCAAACATAATGCAATCACTATAAAAGCCCTACTGTGACACTATGATTGTCGAATCAAGTGAGAGATTATTGAGTTTGTTGGAATGCTACACCCTGAAGACTTTGTTGACTAGTTAAGTAGAATTAAAAAGTTATTCAATTGCAAATGGGTTCATAGGAGAAGAATCTTCCTTCGTGGCCCTTAAGCTATGAGGTTGATCCCTCGCGCCCGGATTTCCTACCAACTCAATTCTACAATTCTCTCTACTTACCCAATAAAACAATGCCACACGTCTTTTGAGTCTTTAACATTGCAAATAACATGGACGGTATTATTACCCCTCCGTTAGACATGTATTCCTTAAAAAAAAATATGCATGATTTTGCCTTTCTCTTCTCTACTCGGTGTTATCTCCGGCCCATGGAATGACTATAAACCCAAGTGCACATCTCCGGCCCATGGAGGCAAGTGCCATAATGCTGTTTTATAGGAAGCCGTTTAAAAGTTTCAACTTCCTACCAGTGCACATCCCAGCCATACTCTCTTAACTAGTTAAAGAAAAGGAGCTAAAGTGAAATTCGCAAAGTGATGTTTAATAAACTTCTCAATGAGTAAGTCATACACTAAAAAGGTTTGGTGTGATGTAATAATACATATGGATGCTTGCCATTTGCTTCTAGTGAGGCCCTGGTAGTATAACGGGAGGGCCAACACCTATAGTTTCACCAAGGGAGACGTGAAGTATATACTTAGGTTGTTGTGACTCCAGTGAGGTCAATAGAAAACTTGTAGTATTGCAATCACTCTAATGGATTACAATGAGTTTGTAGGGGTGCAAGTCAGGTTGGCCCGAGTTAATAGTTTACACTGTTTCGGGTTCGGGCTTCGGATTGGGCCTATTGAAAATTTGACAAAATCCTAACCCTTACCCGAAAAAGTTGCACCCCTAAGTTTGAATGTAAGAGAAGTTAATGCTGGTCCTTAATGAGTACACACACCTCTTTCTTGAAGAATTACTAGATAGCCTCCCTCCTCTATGAGACATCCAGCACCAGATTAACCTCGTACAGGTACTCCCCTACCTAACTGACCCCATTATAGGCTCAACCATTGGGAACTTGTAGAGCTGTGGTGACAATTGGAAGAATTACTCAAGAAGGGACACATTAGGCCAAGCTGGCCTTAGTCCCTGTGCTATCCTTCCCTTGCTCATTCCCAAGAAGGATGACTCCTGGTGGTGAATGTATACAGACAACTGTGTCATCAACAAGATAACAATGAAGTATTGATTTTGCATATCATGATTGGGGGAGATGTTGGATTAACTCAACCAAGCCATAGTATTTACTATGACTTGAAAAGAGATTAACATTAGAATCTCTTTAAGCCAAGTGATGAGTTAAAGACAACTTTCAAGACCAATGGAGGATTGTACAAGTGGCTAGTTAGGTCATTTGGGTTGTCCAATGTCCCGTCTACTTTTATGAAGGTTATGACTCAACTTTTGTAGCCTTTTCTAGGCAAACATGTCATTGTATATTTTGATGACATTCTTGTACAGCTGAAGTACTGATGAACACACGTAGCACTTACAGGAAGCTTTTTATGTTCTAACTAGGGCTGTCAATAGACTGGATTCGGGTTGGACCCCATCTAGTCCAAATATCTTTTGGATGGGTTGGACGGTCCAAAAGATTATATGGACTTGGACTGGTCCAAATATAAATGGTTTGTACACATAATGGACCGAATTTGGACAAAGCAGTTTGCCCAAGTTTAATATAAAACTACTTTTATTACAATACTCTAAAGTACTTTGAAGTATTTTTATGAAATCACTTTTAAGAAAGAACTTTTGCAAAAATATTTTTATAAAATCATTTTTACGGAAGTACTTTTATAAAAGTATATTCATAAAAGTACCCTTATGAAAGTGTTTTTATGAAATTACTTTTATAAAAACACTTTTATAAATATATAGACTGTCATGGTCAATGACAATTCAAAAACATTGGTTCAGAGGTTTAGGTAAGTAATGTCTAGAATTTAGAAAATCGTCCCCAAACCTGTCCTATTGCCATCCCTCGCTACCCCAATGAAAACAAGAAGGGGAATTTTTTTTTTTTGTTTTGTACTTGGAGGGAAGGTTAAAGAGTTGGTCGGAATATACAGGCGAGGTTTAAGTATTTTATCCAAAATAAAAGCACTATGTAGGGGGCATTCCACAATGTGAATTGTTTTTCTTGTTGTGGGTTCCAAAAATAAATCAAAAATATCTGGTTGTGTTTGTTTTCTGTTTTCAAAACTAAAATAGAAAAACATGTTCTTGAATCTGATTTCAAAAACATATTTTTATCTAAATATTGAACTTCATGTTCCATAAATCATCTACTTTCTATACTAAAAATTTTGTTTTTGTATTAAAAAGTAAAAAACAATATTTTGTTGGTTTCAAAAACACATACTGTTTTTTGACATAAAACCAACTTGTTTTTCCTTTTGAAAACAAAAACAGAATTAAAGGACATGTGTTTTGTTTTTTCTAATGTGACGATTCCAAAAACAAATGAAAACAAAAACATTCATATTGTAGAATGCCCCTATTCGTTTGACTTTAGTTATCTATATACTTAAAGCATTGGGAGGGTGTACGACAACATTGGGGCGTTGACATTTACATGTTTTTTGTTCTCTAAATTATTGACACGCCTCTCTCTCTCTCTCTCCCTTTTCTTCTTTATTCTCTCATTTCTCCCACCTCTCTTTGTCTAGAAAGTTACAAGGATGTTACAAATAAGACAAACCTCCATATATAATTGCTTCTATAATATTCAAAAATTACAATAACGTCACATATAAGACAAATCTCCTTATATAATTGATTCAATGGCATTTGAGAATTCTAATAGTACCACTTACAATTATTTATGATTATGACATCCTATAAATAAAATGCCATTCCTCTTCTTTCTCAACTCTCTCTCTCATTTTCTCTATCTCAACTTTTACTTATTCATTTATTTATTTTATTATTATTATTATCTAAACATTTATTTATTTAATAAAATTAAATAAATTGTTTATTTTAATAAAATAAATTGGTAGAATAAAAGAGATGTGACATTTAGAGATAGATTCCAATAAAACATTTATTTATTTATTTTACTAAATTATTTATTTATCTATATTTAATTTACTAACAAATTATTTTCTTCCTTTGAGCCCAATATTTAGTGTTGTCAATTGGTCGAGTCTAGTTCAAGATAGCCTATACTAGTCCCATCTCAATAGACTTTTATTTATTTATTTAAGAAAAACTAGGGCTGAACTAATGGGTTGGGTCTATCTTGATGGAGCTAAATTGATTGAACATAATTATAATGGTTTTTGTTCCATAATTTTGTCTTGATTAATTATTGAATTGATTCTCATTCTTACTTGTCTAGAATTGATTCAGGTCTGGAACCAAACATTTTATGAAATATATAATTTTTTATCTTTCTTGTATTTTTTATCATGTTTTATAAATAAGATAATATTAATTAAAAATGTTTAACTTATTAACATAAAAATGAATTAGTATTATTTTGACTATTGTTTTTAATATAATAAGGTTTATGATTCCATCCAATTAAACAATCGGTTCAAGACTAATTCTACGTGATTGTTTATTATTCATAATAATCTAGTTATAGTTATTTTATTTTAAAAATATAAAAATTAATATCTCCAAATAAGCTAACAAAATTGTATCTCTAAATGGCATTTTTAAATTTTGCCGCTGCTCCCCGCTAGTAGATATTAAGCTGGTCTGAACTCTGAATACATTTTTTAGGTCGAAAACTGGTTTGAATACTGCTGATCTCTAAAATCCTACTTGTTTGGCCATTGGAGTGCAGAGTCCTTAAATCTCAGGGTCTACCAGGCGTGCTCCCGTCAGAGTTGGTTAAGCTTCCGTACCTCAAAGAACTGTAAGAGCTTCTTGTATCATCCGTTCTCCCTTGAGTTCTACTACTATCTCCTCATCACACGTTCGTTTATGTTAAAGTAGTACCTAACTTAACTAAAACTCATCTCGATCTTTGTCACAGTGATCTCACCCGTAACTATCTCAACGGTACAATACCTCAGGAATGGGGTTCTATGAAGTTGGAGATAATGTAAATAGTGTATTCGCTTATTCTCTTGTTCTCATGGCGTAACTTAGCATTCAAAAGTTTTTTTTTTTTTTTTTCTTTTCTGTTTTACAATCAATCAACTGTTGTTACTGCAGCGCCCTTCAGGCAAACCGATTATCGGGTTCAGTACCCAAAGAACTTGGGAACCTCACCACTCTCCACCAGCTGTAACTTCTGTTTTTCCCTTGTTTTACTTAAATATTTTCAGCGGTATAGTTTTTCTTTGTTTATTTTAAAACTAAATAGTTTGAATTTCAGGGTCCTGGACTCCAACCAACTCTCTGGAGTTATTCCTCCAGAACTTGGCAATCTAGTCAACTTAAGAAGATTGTAAGTTCCTTCTTTCATTACGCGCTATTTATGGCTTCTTATACTTCTGGTTTTTATCGAATTTCCATACTTTTAAAGGATCTTATTGTGTAAGCTGGGTTATTTCTCTTTTTTTTTTTTTTTTTTTTTTTTTTTTTTTTCTGCTGGCTGTTCCAGGGTACTTTCATCGAATAATTTCACGGGGCAGTTGCCGGGGAAACTTTCTAACCTGATCAGCTTGACGGATTTGTAAGTTTCCTCCGGAAACTATATGCCTAAATTTAGATTTCTTGTCTTTGTCATATTGATTCTTTTTCTTTTTAACTGTTGATGATAATCTGTAACGTAGTGCAGCCGCATAAGTGATAATCAGTTTAGTGGAAAAATACCTGGTATTATTCAGAACTGGAAAAACCTCTCAATGTTGTAAGATATTTTTCTTTTTAATTTTTAGTTTCTGAATGTCTTCTAGAAGTAGAATTTAGAAGCCACTCACAATCACATTTATTTCATTTACATTTGGTTAATGGCAGATGGATACAAGCAAGTGGTTTTGAAGGGCCCATTCCTACTGAGATTTCTCTTTTGCAAAAGCTAACGGACCTGTGAGCAAAGATCCTCTTTATTTCATATTGTCTTTGTTGTTTTGTGATAAATGAATATTTTGTGATCTTTAATGAAGTAGTTTCTTGTATTTACTCTTGGTGAATTGTTTAAGTGCAGGAGGATAAGTGATACAAATGGACCAGAAGAAAGATTTCCACAACTGAGTAACATGACAAGCTTGATGACACTGTGAGTTGAATTTTATATATATAGAAGATTATCTATATTGTGTTGTTTGAATTGACACTATTTTCATTCCTTATTATAGGATGTTAAGGAGTTGCAACATTACTGGAAATTTACCTGAATATCTTGGACAAATGACAACTTTGACAACTTTGTAAGTCTCCCCATCTTCTGGCTACCTGCTACATGTAAGTTCATTTGAAACTTGACGAATCTAGCAAACTTATTCCCTTACACCAATACTGACATCAATCAGAAGGATAAAAGAGAAAATATTAGGAAAACTAGATTAATATGATTTGGATACAGAAGACCAACTACCACATCAACAAGTTCTTTTTTTTGGTTCCCAGTTGCCCAATCTTGCAAATTCATCCTCTTATACCAACGCCAATGTCAATTAGAAAGATAAAAGAAAAAAGTGAAAGAAAGTCAAGGATGGAAATTGGTAGGGTAGAAGTAGGGATATCTGTTCTAGTGATGGAAGCTCATTTTAATCAAACAAACCCTTGCCAATCTCAAATTATATTTGTCAGTCATGTCTGTTTACAAATCACTAGCCAATATCCTGGATAATGGAGAAGGGCTCCATTTGGGACAAGTCCAATGATCTGGAGAAATTACAGTTAGAGGATTGGGCTCAGCTTTCATATCAAAAGGAAGAGTACTTGGTATACAACATATCCAAATAATGCTGCTCCTTCTCTCAAGTGACAATGGATATTCTGGAAAGATTACAATGTGTGTTGGAGAAGAATCATTGCAAGCAAGTATTGTTGGGAATCATCGCCCTTCATGGAACCCTATGGATATAAATGTCTGGCACATTATTCATTATCATTTGGCTGGTTTTAACAACCAGACATGTAGTGGATTGTAAAACCTTCGGCTGAAAATCATGACAATGCGGGTTCAAGTCTAAGGGATGCCACATTGTGCAAAAATTGCCAAAAGTTAGGTCCTTATCATGTCCACTCCTCCCAAGACCCCAAATAATTGGGACCAACATTGGGTGGTGGACTTTATTGGAGAAAGGATATTAGATCCAATTTTTGGGGAGATAGCTGGTGCAGTGGTAGATCTTTGTTCCTCTCCTTATGACATGGTAGAAACTAGAGAGATGGTGTTGTAAATTATTTGCAACTAGTGGTTGGGATGTCAATTTGATGAGTTTTCTTTTCTTTTTCTTTTGTCAGACAGTGAATGGAGTCTAGACCCTAGTGATCACTTATCCATCAAATCATTTTTTTTCTGGTGTTTGTTAGCTAGGTTATCAATTATTTATTTTACCCTTTGGCCAGACAGACAGCCATTTGAGCAGGAAAATATCATATCTAGATATTTCTACACCATCTGATTTGGTGAGAGATTTTGGGTGCAAAGATTTCTCCAAATCAGTAACTAGTAATTTGTATCCAAAGAAAGGATTAAAATATTGATACATGGGGTCTAGACTGTAGTGATCACTTCTCCATCAAATCATTTTTATTTTCTGGTGTTTGTTAGCTAGGTTACCAATTATTTATTTTACCCTTTGGCCAGACAGACAACCATTTGAACAGAAAAAGTGCACATCTAGGCATTTCTACATGATCTGATTTGGTGAGAGGTTTTTGGGTGCAAAGATTTCTCCAAATCAGTAACTAGTAATTGTATCAAGTGGGTATCAGTGTGTATTGATATGACCGATATGTAGGTGTTTTTAATTTTTTTATACTTTTTTTTTTTACTTATAGGTATAAGAGGGCCCCACTCCCACCTTTAAACTTTTAACAGTTTTTAAGAAGCTTTTGTATTGGTGTATCCAAGTGTATTTGGGTACACCGAAACAGATACGGTATCCCCCAATACGGGCATATTTTGTTGATATTTTAGTCATTGGTCAAATGAATTGTTTTATCAAGTCTAATTTAAATTAAAAATATTATCATGGAAAATTGGAGAACTTTTAGATTCATATTAGAAGTATAATACTAAAAAAAAGGTGTAGGTACTTAACTGGTGGTTATGTACATGTCTGTTACTTGACTTGTGGATAGGTACATTACTCTAATGAATTGTTTTGAGATGTTAATATAAACATTCAAAGTTAGGAGTGGCCTTTGATGGAAACATTTAGAAACAATGTGATTGTAAGGAATACTTTGGGCCAGAAGCTTTTCTTTTATTGTATTTGTGACCATCTTTCTCTGCAGAGACCTCAGCTTTAACAAGTTGACTGGGCAACTTCCAGATAGCTATGAAAAGCTGTCAAAAGTGGATCGCATGTAAGTGTTATAATTCTGGTGTTGGAGTTGTCACAAATTTCTAATTGCCTCTCACAATGCTAGGATTGTGCAAACAATTACTCAACCATGTAATACCACTGATGTCACTTTTTTTTAGATTTCTGACTGGGAACATGCTAAATGGTTCTGTGCCTAGTTGGATGCAAAATAAAGGAGAAAGCATGTAAGTTTTCTGTCAATTTCTAGTTAGGTGATGCTTATTACCTACTTATGAAATAGGAAGTTTATTATTTCAATCTAAAGGAAATTAATATTGTATATATTATATCTTATTATGCAATGAACTCTTTTCAAGAAGATGATTGTTCTTTGTTCTTTGTATCTTTAAAATACAGTGATCTTTCTTACAACAATTTTACATTAGAAAGCTCGAGGCAAATTAGTTGTCGAGGACACATGTAAGAACATCTTTTCTTGATTCAATGTGCTTGTAATTCCAGTTTGATGTGGCTAGATATTTGTCTTGATTTCTAAACTTTTTGCTTTTATATTATTTTTTTTTCCAGAAATTTGTTTGGTAGCTATTTTTTGGGAAACTACTTGTAAGTTTCTACTTTCTTATTTTGGAGAATTTCATCATAGGTTTTAGATATAGTGAAGAAATAATGAGTCATTGCTTTTTGATTGTTTGTTCCCTAAAAAAGTTATAGTATGATAATCTCATAATGTTCACTTACTATTTACTTCATATTGATCTAGAAGTGGAGCTGATCCATGCGTGCAGGATCTTCCTTGTCTGCGAAGTAAGTATATGCTTTTTAATTTAGAATTCAGGATTTTCCTTTCTGGTTATGAATTTATTCTGTGATTTTATTATCTTATCTTTTCCCATTATAAATGTTACATTGTGCATCATCTCTAACTAGATGAACCAAGAGTTTAAGCGATCAATTCATTAAGGACCAGTGAGCCATTTCAAATAAAGATACATATTGGGCTTTGATCAAGTGAAATGAAAGGGCGTTTCACTGATTGTGATCGGGTGGATGGCTCAGCATTTCAATATTCAATTGGCCCTTGGTCTCTTTGCTACTTATTAGAGCTTTTTTTATCATTAGAGAGTTGATCTTTGTGGTTACAAGGCCACAGCCAAACCCATGAGGTAGAGACGTAGAGTTGCTACATACTAATTCAAGTATAGGACCCATCAAAATCATACATTTGAAAGAGATAAATGTCCAATATACCAGGGAAACATTGATGATATTGCTGCAGTATTTTGTTGCAGGGTTGGTTCCCTCCCTTCAAAGTTTGTGGGTCTTCCATCGGGAAACCACTGCAAGTCAAAGGAAATTTGGGACCCACTGATTCATAGAATAAGATCCAAATTATCCAGCTGGAAAAAAAATAATTTATCTAAGGTAGGTAAAATTATCCTAATCCAGAGTGTTCTCTCAAACCTACCTTCTTACTTTATGTCCATTTTTAGATCTCCAGCCTCGGCTTTGAATAATATTGAGAAGCTGAGAAGGGATTTCTTGTGGGATGGTAAAGAGGAGGATAAGAAAATGCATTTACTGACTTGGGCAGAGGCATGTAAGCCTAAACACCAAGGTGGAGTTGGCATTCAGCCACTGGAACAGATTAATAATGCTCCCCTAACCAAATGGTTATGGCGGTTTGGTACTGAGAAATATGAGAAGTGGAGATAAATTAAATGTAAGTGTGGGGAGGCTGGTCTTGGTTGGGAATTAGACCCTGTTATTGAAGCTTATGGCACTGGTTTGTGGAAGGAAATCATGAACAACAGCGATATCTTCTTCAAGTATTGTCATCTTTAAATCAGGAACAAGTGAGAGCATGTGCTTCTGGAAAGACTGGTGGTATGGAAATGGCCCACTCATCTTTGCTTTGGCCCAAGTTTAAGCTGCCTGAATCTGTGACTCTTAGAGGAGAATGCAAATGAGATTGTATGGTATACCACATTGAGAAGTAATGCCAATGATTAGGATGTGGAGACCCTATTAGCATTGTTGCAAACTGTGGAACAGGTAAAGCCTCAACCAATGCTTGAAGACTGATTCTGGTGGCCAAATGAAAAATCAGGGGTGTTCACAGTCATATCAATGTTTCAAAACTTGGCCTATGTGGAGACAGAGAAACCCTATTGAGTGTGGATCTAAAAGTAGAAGGTCCCTCAAAGGTGATATTTTTCCTTGGGGGTGCTATCAAAGGTAAAATCCCAACCATAGATGTTCTGAGAAGAAAAGGAATGTGCATCATCGACTGGTGTTGTGTTTGTGGGCAGGCTGAGGAAAACGTATAACATTTGCTAGTAAACCGCAGCTTCTCCTATTCTATTTGGTTTCATGCTTTGCAGCCTGGTGTGTGTTGGGTGGTCCCTTCTGATATTGAATCCTTGGTTTCTTCTTGGAGGTCCCAAGTCTTCAGCAAGAGGGGTAATGTGTTATGGAATATGATCCCTCTAGTGATCTGCTAGTGCATTTGGAGGGAGACAAATGGCAGAACCTTCAAAGAGCAGTTCCTTCCCATTGAGAAGATGTGTGCTAAGATAGAAAGAATCATGCTGCTGAAATTGGTAACAATTCATATTTTGTTCAGGGGATTTAAGTCCAACCGTTTTCAGCAGTCTTGGGGAGGTATTTTATGGGACGACAACTTTTCCGTGTTATGGTTGTAATGGCACTATGAAATGTACTGTTGTACTAGGTTGTTGAGGAAACATCTCCCTCTGCAGCCATTTATCTCTATTCACCACCTTTCAAAAAAAAGAAAAAACATAGGTAGGAGGCTCTGTTGACAGTGGGGAAGGGGTATCCCCACCAATCCAAAATGATTGCTTGCTTAGGTGAGTTGAAAAAAGTGAGGACATTTAACCATTTTCAAATCGAAATTAATGCTACAAGGTTAGAAGGAAAGAAGCTCGTGCCATTATCTGTGTGCTGGTCATTGTTGAAGGAGTGTAACAGTTGAGTTTGGTACTTTGGAGCATCATGTGGAGTCAAATATTCTGGGTAAAGCTGAGAAGTATATGGTGTGGTGGGCTAGATGTTACGAAAAGATGCAGCATTTAAAGCTCCATAATTTCTCTTCCCTTTGGGGGGGGGAATTATTTTACAGTAAAATTTTGCTGTATACTTTATCCATTTCATGCAAAACTGATGCTCATTTACATGTTTTGTTGAGGGAGCCTTTCCCTCCTATTAATGAAATTTATACTTCACCTATCAAAAAAGGTTAGAAGGAAATAAGAAAATGTTTCAAGTGAAATTTTTAGCATAAACAAAGATTCGAAGTATTAGAAAAAATTCAAACTGAGTGGAACAAAATAAAGGAGGGGAGCTTGTGTCAATATTTCACCACCTTGGAAAAAATCAGGCATTGATAGTCTTGTCCTGTAATGCTAATTTTTGAGCATAATCGATGAAATTTCTTTTATCAATAAAAGAAATTTTGTTGTAATTTTTAGGAATAAATGATTTTACAATTTATTTACATGATTTAAGTGATACAATTTTCTTAGAGAAGTAAAGAGGATCTAGAGAAGGCACAAAAAGAGCATAGCCAACCACAAGAAATAGACCACTGGAAGGCTTAGTTTGAAATGCAAATTCATTTGCACTGCTGTAAATGCATGGGAGTGCAAAAGGGCCGAGTGCAAATTCTGGTTTACTTTTGCTTCAGATTTGACTGTCCTATTTGTTGGTGAGAACTAAAATGAAGTTACCTCCATTTTATATGAAAATGAATGGAGGTAGGAGGGTTATCTGTTTAGGAGTGGGGTAGGATGCAAGGTGAGGTGGTCCCCGACTCCCCACTTTATACGAGAGAGAATTGAAGTAAGAGGAAGGTGGTGCAAATTTTGTTTCTGTTTTTGGGATGCAAAATTTGCACTGCCAGTGAGTGCAAATGACACAAAAGAGTGCAAATTTTGTATCAGGAAGGAGTGCAAATCATAGTTACAATATATAAACAAGCAGATATAAAACTGAACTGGGTGCAAAATTTCTACCTGGTTGAGATTTACACTGCCAACAAACAGAGCCTAAGAGTTAAACCAAAAGTAGCCTCCATCCAAGGGATTAGGCCTCTGAAATTTGATACAAATTGGCCCCTCAAACCTCTTCTCTGTATTTGTTTGTATTCAGTTCTATAGAAGAACAAGAAGAGAATAGAAGAAAAAGAGGTTTAGAAGAAATGGGCAGCACCTCTCTCCAGCTCTCCAAGACAACTTTTATACTAGGGCAATAAGAAAGAGATACAATGACAAATCTACCCTTGATTAGTAGGCAGTAAGAAAAACATAAAAACAAAGTAGGCCCGGGCCCATTTAGCCCAGGAAGTTACACAAGTAAATGTTATGACATAACATAAATAGGCCCAAGCCCACAATGCTAGGCTACAAAACGCTCCCCCTCAAGCTGAGCATAGATATCTATCATGCCCATCTTGCATAACAGCTCCACAAATCTGGATTTTGTGAGTCCTTTAGTGAAAACATCAGCTAGCTGTTTTGTTGATGGCATGTAGGGAATACAGAATTCTCCAGAGACAATCCTTTCACGTTCAAAATGTCTATCTATCTCGATATGCTTCGTTCTATCATGCTGGACTGGGTTATTTGCAATGTTAGTTGCAGCTTGATTGACACAATAGAGCTTGAGTGGTCCAGTTATATCTATCCCCAATTCCTTTAGGAGGATTCGAAGCCAAAGAAGTTTAGCAACACCATGAGCCATGGCTCTGTATTCAGCTTCAGCACTTGATCTTGCCACAACAGCCTATTTCTTGCTTCTCTACGTAACCAAATTTCCACCCACAAAGGTGCAATACCCTGATGTAGATCTTCTGTCTCCACGGGAACCAGCCCAATCAGCATTTGTGAATGCTTCAACTTCTATTTTGTCATGCTTCTTAAATAATAATCCTTTCCTAGGACATGACTTGAGATATCTCAAGATTCTCTCTATTGCTTTCATATGTGAGACTTGTGGATTATGCATGAATTGGCTAATTACATGGGTTGAATATGCAATATCCGGCCTAGTGAGAGATAGATACAACAATTTTCCAACCAACTGTTGATATCTTTCTTTATCAGGATAAGGTTCCTCATCACCTCCTTGCAATCCATGATTTTGCTCTATGGAGGTGTCAGCAGGTCTGATTCCGAACTTCCTGGTCTCCTTCAGCAAGTCAAGAGCATACTTTCTCTAACAGATGTAAATCCCTTCCTTGGATCTAGCCACTTTTATTCCCAAGAAATATCGCAAGTGCCCTAGATTCTTGATTTCATATATTTTGAGGCTAAGAAACCTTTTAATTCCATAATTTCCTTTGTATCATATCCAATAACCACCATATCATCAACATAGATAATCAGAGTTGTCAACTTCTCACCATCCCTCTTATAGAACAATGTATGATCTGCACCACTTTGTTTATACCCTATTTCCTTCATTGCTCTGCACAATCTCTCAAACCATGCTCTTGGGGATTGTTTGAGACCATACAAGGCCCTTTTTAGTTTACACACCTTTCCTCTCATGTTGTATCCTAGAGGAGGGTCCATATACACTTCTTCCTGCAAGTTTCCATTTAGGAAGGCATTCTTAACATCCAATTGATGCAGTTCCCAGGAAAAGTTTGCTGCTACAGAAAGTAACTCCAATTGTATTTAATTTGGCAACTAGAGCAAAAGTCTCCTTGTAATCAATACCTTCCCTTTGGTTGAACCCTTTTGCAACCAATCTAGCTTTATATCTTTCAATAGTGCCATCTA